AGAAGTTCAGTATCTTCTACTGTCTGGGTTAGGATACTTAATGAATTAATGCCAGGTAATTTAAAACCAGAAGCATCAAAACATCCTCCCTCCACCTGTTCTATCATGGGGCTCGTGGATGAACTCAGGCACTTTAATGCAAGTTCAGAATGGGCTTGGGGAGTTGAGGGTGATAATGGATGGTGTCCCTAGTCTAGCATCCTCAGTTTATTTCACAGTGGGTAAAAAGCCATGTAATCTAAAGTAACATTACAGAACCACAGGCAAGGCTGTCTGTAAGGCATCCTCTCACAAAGAGAGACCAGTGTGAAGCCCCACAAATGAGGCCAATGTAGGGAAGCTGGGATACTTGTCGTAGCTAGAAGGATGCAGGCAAGATTGAAGTCAGGGCAGCATTTTAAGTCTAGTTACGCAAATTGACATGGATGTCTATTTCATCTACTTATGTTTTTGTGGGGAGGAGCTGGCTTTCATAGTTTTTGTGTCTTGGTTTTTACTTTTTAGATATATCTTCATTTTTCTATGGTTATGAAAGTAACGTCTGCAACTTTAAAAAATTAAAGCAGCATAAAAATGTATAAATTAGAAAGTTAGAATTGTTGCTGGTCTTCACTGCTCCACCCTAACCACTTGCCTTCCCCAACCCAACATACAGCAAAGCTGACGTGTTCGTGATATGTTTCTGGGCATCTTTCCGTGCATATGGGTTTTTATTGAAAAACTTATTCTGAATTATTGAATGAATAGTGTGGGGCCACATGCCGTAGAAACCGTGCTTTTAGCTCACCAGGTAAATTCCCAGGATATGTCTCTGACATTGTCCATTTCCTTATCTCTGAACATCGTACATGGGAATAGCTCAGACCCCAACGTTCTTATGGAAAGCATTCACATACACGGGCACACTTTGTGAACCTTTGCCATCGGCCTCTCTCCAGGAGCAAGTTCTGACCCCTGCCGGGTTGAGATATGTTCTCCTTCTCTCTGTCCATCATCTGATGCGCTCTCTCATGGCCCCTAAAGCAGCTCAGACCAATCATTAATGCTCTTGTCTGGACTGTGGGTTGCTGATGGCAGGGTCCGGTCCAGATCACCTTTGTATTTTTAGTGCCTAGTATCATGTCAGCAGAACATTCTTTCAGTAGATGCGAAATGCGTTGATGGAGGAAATGAACAGTGGGATGTATACATCTATCTGCTGTACACAGTGGTGGTCACACGAGCTCCACTGGGTGGCTATTGAGGCCATTATCTGCTTCATGCCATACTCTAATCACCAGCATCCGAGGGCTCTCAGAAAGAATCCACAGATATTCCTATTTGCATTCCAATTACTTCCTCTGCTGACTCAAGTTGGGACACCAGGTGAATAATAAAGGTCAAACCCTCAGCTGAGAAATATTATATTCAAGACCTCCGTGGCAGACAGAAAAAAATAACACCATAGCCATCTTCTTGCCTAGATCTTTCACTCTCGCATTTATAGGATGTAAATCCTTTGATTCTGAGATTGAAATGATTGCAGGTTGCTGGGAAGGCGCAGAGCTGCCTTCTGTATTTTTAACAAATAGAGGGAAGGCATGTAGCGGCTGAAAGTTCTCTCTTTTCACACAGCTTGCAAGACAGTGGCAATAAATTTTCAAAAGAGTTGTTTACTGAAGTGCTCCAGCTAATGAAAAAGGAGTTAAGCTGCTATTGAGAAATCTCCCTCCCACCTACTCGTTGAAGTGTCATTCAGTTTTCAAGGTTGTAGAGACCAAGGGAGACCCAGGCATCCTGAGCAAGCCTGGCCGGGACTGAAGTGGCCTTTCCTGCTCTCTTGAAGGATATTGCTAAACGAGAATTCCTTCGCCTGCGAGCAAGCTGTCAGTCACCCCCAGGTGTGTGAAGGGCAGCCGATGGTTTGTGTCTGTCTAGCCCACATTCCACCGCTGAATATACCTCTATTCCGGAATGGTAAATCTTCATGGTATGGTGTTTTTGCAAGCTGGGTATGCTTTTCTACATTTTCTGGGTTTGTTTTTGTATATAAAACCTGATCACTCTGCTTGGACACCCAGGACCTCGGCAGGTATCTGTGCTGTTTAGTCTACTGAATGAAAACTGGTGCTTTGCAGGGAGATGATAGAAAAAGAATTCTATAAATATGCATATTTTTATAATAAACGCATTGATGGCCTTTGCACCTTCCACTGAGGGACCTTTGCATTCCAAGACAAAAGCCACATTCCGTGGCTTTGATTGAACTCCCAGGTGGTGCGTCTTCCACTTGAGTGCTCTTACTACCCTCATTGTGAATGGCGTTTATCTTGGGCTCCCTTATTTGCTTGTTGTGCCAATTTGATCATTTATTTTTTCACGCTCACCTCACATTTAAAGTGTCCCGATCACGTGATCCTGCCAAAAATGTTGACTGCTGCCTCATTCTTCTTCTTCTTTTTTTTTTTTCAAGCTGTTGAGAATGGAACAGCTCTTCAGTCTCAGCAAATTCTATCAGTTACATCCTGTGTTTCCGGCCATGACCATATACGTGCTTGGAAGATTGACTTTTTACGCTTCCTCATCCATTTTCCTGAACTTTAAATCCAAAAATACATGGGAGAACAGATGAGAGTGAAATTGTACCCATACATAATGTAGCCGTCTATTTACGGACGAGTATAAAGAGTGTAATTTCATGTTCATTTTGGGGAATCGAAGCCAGTGTTTAGGGCCATGATCTGCTTCTTGAGAATGAGGTGCAGTTTGTCCAGGTATGAATAAATTTCCCCCAGAATGACTAGGATGGAGGCTTAACAGGCTGCCCTGTGTGGCAACAGTCCATAATATATCATGGCTTATTTTCACTTCTTCCAGGTTCTTCAAGGGCATCTACCCTTAGAAGTAGCCAAAGGGATACCTGAATGCCTTGGTAGACATCCACATGTGTAGATCCTCAGCGAGGATGATAGCTCCAGTGGTTCCATCTGGTCATTTATGTCTGTTGTTTTCTTTCTGAGTAGTGATGGTGAGAGGTATGGACCAGATATTATGGGTTCTAGTTCTCATGCCTTCTAATTCCAGTTAATGGGAGAATTGGGACAAGCCACTTATAAACTTTTTTTTTTTTTTTGCTTTCTTAAACATGAAATAATAACGAAATTCCTTCGTTTTATACTCTTGGGGAAAAAAAAGAAGTGACACAATTCTCCTCCAAGCCCTGGAGCTGTAAAGCACTACACAAATGATTAACAGTAACTTGCTGAATTTGATGTGTTTTCAGAGAACAGGAGGTGCCTGGCTCACTCAAAGTGTGATGTTGTGTGCTTATTTTGTTTCAAAAGATGAGGAATAGATCAATGCAAGGAGCGACCTTAAAAGGAAAGTGATAACCTGTAGATCTGAGGAGCTGACCCACGAGGTGCTGTGTGGGCTGAGGGAACCCAAACTATATTCATGCTAGGAAATTAGAAATGCATTTAGGAAAGTATGCATCCGCTTATTTATCAGAGGTCAAGTTACTAGAATTGTGATACTCAATTCTAAATTTGAAATGTTTTTGGTTATCTTGAGGAGTTAAGGTATGAAGTAAATATATAAAAGCAATGTTGATTTAATTAAATAGATTATTTCTTAAAAACTTTTGCTGGTTGGCAAAGATGCTCAACAAGGGGGATGATCCCTTCAAAATGACCGAGACTTCTGACTTAGGTTAGAAGCCCAGAGACATATATATATATATAATAATACCTACTCTAGAGCAACTTTTACATAAACCGTGTTGCATTGATGCATTCCCTAAGTTCACTGGACTGCTGGGTGCAACTGCCAAAGCTGAGAGAGCTGTTGCAATATTTCATCGATTAACAGAAGTTTACTGTACTTATGCTACCTGAAAATCACCGTGCTGGTGCCAGGAACACATAGATGTAAATGACATGCCAGGTCTAGTGGGAGAAGGAATGCACACAAATTATTCTTAGGTAGTGCAGCAAATGCTTTATTAGAAATTGCATTCGTCCATCCATCCATTCATTCACTCACTCCTTCATTTGTGCCCCAATAGCCTTCAAAAGGGCACTCACTCAGTACTCCCTTTTAGCCAGAAAGGAGTTGCCGATGCTTTCCTGGACAAAGATAAAGATTGAGTCTATTATGTGAAATCAAAATGCAGCAATTAAGTGCATTTCTCAGAGGTCAACTAGATGTGAAGAGGAAGTGATGTGACTTATTGATCCCTTTCAGAGACTTGGGCATGAACCTCTTGACCTTCCCACAGTAACCGGGCTCACAGCAGTTGTCAAAGGGGCCACATGTTGACAGTGACTCATAACTCTTGAGCATCTGTGTGTTCTCACCAATTACAAGAGACTCGGTTTAGGTGCACTCTGAGTTAAGAAATGCTTTTGCAATAACATGAAACTCTGCAGATTATAGATTTGGGTCAGTTCGAAGAAAGTTCCATTTAACCTCCAAGATTTCAGTGTTGACAACTGCGTGTTCATTTTGGGAGATTTGTTCTATAGTGGAAGGGGGGTAATATGGCAGAACACAGAGTTGAATTGGCAATAGAAAGGTGTTGATATAAGAAATTGACAACTCAAGATTCTGTCTTTACTAGGTAGTAGTGTGTGTGTGTGTGTGTGTGTGTGTGTGTGTATTCCAAAGAGAATACTCTTTTGAAGGTGCTTGATTTCCTATTAATCGCTGTATAGAAAGGGAAGAATAGAATTCAAGATAAAAAGCAGCCCGTCTCCACCACATTTCTTCCTGAGTTGTGTCATCAGAGAATGTCTCAAGGACGTAGCACTTCAGTCTGCTAATCTGTAGAGGGTAACAGTGAGTTGCTTCATAGAGACACTGTGGAGACTTCCCTTTCTCTGCATAAAAGGTACAATATTAGGCATCATTTTGTGGTGTTTTCTGAATTTTCAAATGGCATTGTGTAATAATAGTTTGATCCTAATCAGAACAGTGGCAAATGTGTTTATATTTCTCTTGGGATTTTTTTTTTGCCCCAGGAATGCCGAGACACCATTTCTGCTTGTCCTGTCTTACCTTCACGTGCACACGGCCCTCTTCTCTTCCAAGGACTTCGCCGGCAAAAGTAAACATGGCGCTTATGGGGACGCTGCCGAGGAAATGGATTGGAGTGTTGGTATGTGTCTTTATCTTCGATATATACTTGAAAGGTGGCTGAGTCTTTTCCTCCTTCTAGCTTATTTCCTGTGAATTTCTACCTGTGTTCCTGATGCCTTTATAGAAAGCAAATATGGTTTGTTTGTTTTTTTCCCGAGAAAGGTAACCAAACAAATACTAATTCTGAACAGTAAACAGAATACAAAAGGCATCTTCAGCCCCAAGTGCGTGATTGAGGTTGTCGATGGATGCATTGCCAGGGAAAGTCTGGGCCTGTGGGCCGGTGATCAAAGACATTGATGGAGAAAAGGATCCAAGGCGTTAGTCCTTAGCATCACTTCTTCTAGTAACAATTAGATATGAGCAACACCTCGTCTTTAGCAAAGTTAGGTAAGTGGTGGATTTGGGATATCTGGAAGAGTCTCTCAAGGCAGCAGCCGAGGGGTCTTCCATGGGTGCTCTTATCATCGCTGCAAAAGTCCATTGTGTTTCCTTCTTCTAGAGGTTGTGTTCTTCCTGCTGCATCTCTGAGGACTGCAAAATTCCCATGTTCTTCTGTTCCCCTCCTTCTTCCTCAGCAAATTACCCTCTTCCTCAGGAATGTGGCATTTTGTCAGAGGTACTGAGAAGACTTCTTATTGAGGCTGTCTTTAAACAATAAATCTTTCTCATCTACATGACATAGTCGTGGCCATGCTTTCCTCGAGTTTCTTTTGCACAGCTAAGCAGTCTCGGGTCGATTCCATAGTGTGGAGGAGAAGTCTTAGTAGCGGGTTAGCAATAGGATGGAAAATCAGTGGGCTCCGAACTTCTCGTTCACTTCCTGTCTTTTCTAGTGATATCGTCTCTCAAGATGACATTGTTGGTCCATCTGGACAAAATTGTCCAAAGGTCACCAGTCAACCAGGTTGCTTAGGCTTTTCATATATTTGCTTTCTTTTCCTTTTTTTTCCTTCTCTCTTTCTTGTTCTTCTTTTTTTCTGTGGACTAAATTAATAGTTTTTAACTTTTTAATCTAAGTGTTTTGGAAATACTTGAACATTGCCACAGAGTGTTTTTGGTTGGTTTGTTTTAAGCAGCAAATTGAATGTGATGATGGTCACCTAGTGTGGTGATCGTAAGAACAAGTTTTGTTTTGTCTTTTAAATCATGGAAGGAGTACCATCTTAAGAAACAAGAAAACAAGACCCTTATTCTAGCTTCTAGCTCTTCAACTGTCTCTGGAGACTTGAGAGATGTCTTCAGTCTCCAGGTCTCAGGGTCCATCATCTTGACATGAAGGATTCAGACAAAGCCAGTTCTAAGTTTCTTTCTTCTTGAACACTCTGTCATCCTGTGAAATAATATAAGTGAGTACACATGGTGAACACAAGGAAAAACAAAACCAGAGCATTCCCCCAAATGAGATTGATAAGAAAAATCCATTATACTTAGAGCTTTTACATACAGCAATACAAGCCTGCCTCCTTTTATTTTTCTTTCAAAGTGTTGCACGTAAGTCAATTTACATTTTCCACACTGTGGTAGTGTAAATCAGTAGACTATTTTGTAGTGTGAATCAGAAACTAAAGGAATAGTTTATCTCTTTAAAGAACACTCTATTTTAATGTAATAGGTTTCTTATACAACTCTAAGACATTGCTTGGCTAGCAAGCAAGTTCATGCTGGTATCATCACCCTTACTGATTAATTTTTATTTAATTTTAATGGCATATATACCTACACTGACTCATTAAGAAGTCTAACTTCCAATGTTTTTCTACTATGAGTCCCTCTAGAGTAGAATGGAGAGTATTTTTCAATTTTCAAGATCTGTATTCAATTCTGATATAATATTAATAGATGATTGTGTTCTTTCTTTTTTTGCCAAAAAATAAAATCCTTCCCCTAAGCCACTACGTTAATTTCTCAGGATATTTCTGTGATTGTAAGTCCAATACGCCCAAGCGTTTTGAGGAACATTCCTTCCCTCCAAGAAGAGCCTTTCATTATTACACAGAAGGGTGTAGCATTCTGAATAATTATGTAATAAGATAAAATGGGGATATTTGCTCAAAAAGAAATGCTCCCTGCACAAGGGGTAGCTGAGATAGAAAGAATTCAACAGAGAGGGCAGACCTCTGTCAGTCAGAGCGTTTTCTTTCAAAATTTTTGGAGGCAGCCTGATTATATGGAGCATAGCTTTCTTCCCTTTCTCCAGGTACCTGTAAAGGCATATTTGTAACAAAGAACCTTTATTATTTAATTGTCCATCTTGGCCAATTCCACCCCATGTCATCACGGTTTACTGCCTTATCCTTAGCTGTGGGATTGCTCTATCTTGTGTTGTTATAATAACTGAGGAAAGACTGACCACACATATACGAAAGGGGCGTTGCAGTAAAACCACACGGGGGGGAGCTCTAATACCGCTATGCCATTCGAGGGGTGGTCAACACTCTAATAGTCACAGCTACCACCTGTTAAGTGCATGTCCCACACCTGGCCCCAGACGGGCCTCACATTCATTCCCTCCCTTTGTGCTGTCAACAGTCCATGCAGCAGGTAACATGGTCATCATTCTTATTGTACCGGTAAGGCGGCGAGGCTTGGAGAAAGTTAAATACACTTGCCTCGGGTTACAGAATTAATCAGGGATGAGCAGGAATTCAAATGCCCAGAGCCTGAAGTCTATACTACCTCATTCCACTGCCTTCCATGCAATGAGAAAGGCTGCGTCATAGTGGTGTACAGTCAACAGTGAATCACAGGGAAAGAGCTAGTTCATTCATTAGGCACGTTTATTGGATGCCGACTGGGTGCCTAATTTTTTGAGGGGGAGGGAAGGATGCAATAATGATAAGACCCTTGGCTTAAGAGAATTTAGGGGCTACTGAGGGATTTAAGATTCTTCCAGGAGATCTTATAATATCACAGAGCAGAAATGGAGGAATGGATGTCCCAAGCAAGGTGGCAATAACGTACCTGAGCAGTTTGGAAAAGGGAAGGGCAGGCGCCTGTGGCCAGTGGATGCAGCCAGCCCCATCTTTTCAGCAAGACGCACTGACAGTCGAATCCTTTGGGCAATCGTGCAAAGTCTGATTTTCAATCCCTATTAATTCTGAACAACGGAGCACTGGGGAGGAACAAATGGGTAAAATCTCAGTGTTTTCAAATGCTCACCAAGGATTTTGGGGGCGTGTCATTCTAGCTGTTTTTCTGGAAATGGAGTGACATTTACCAGAGTCCTATGAATGGGTCAGGGGTGGAGGGGGGTGTAGAGGGTGCACGTGGAGGGATGGACGTTGTTCCCACCAGTGGTATCTTATTTGTGGCTGGTACCTTTGCAGTGGTCACAGCTCGTCTGTCAGGTGGAATTTTGCATGCAATCAGCATTTATTTAGAGCCCTGTGCTATTAATAGAACCACAGGAAGGAATCACAAATCAGTGCTTGCTCAGGATCAGACTAGCAAATTCTGTATCCTACAAAGAGAGATGCAAGTCGAGAACAATTAAGGTGAATGCTAAAATAAATCTCTGGCTTCAAATCAGACCTTTGTATTAAAAATATATGTAGATGCTTGCCACTGCTAAGGGTTGGGATCCAGTGGCTTATGTGGGATTCTTTCTTTCAAACAAAAACTGTAAGCCTTTTCTTAAGTGGAAGAAACACAAACCATCCTAGTGGGACTCCTGAAGTCTTCAGAAGGAGTTTGATTTCCGGTTGTTCAGGATCTGTAATGTGGTACCCCCTAGTGGCTGTCTCTGATAAGGCAACCCTCAGTTTCTCCTCTTGGTGTCTTTCCCTCTGGGGCGCTGGACCTTCTGTGGGTGCAGGATGAAACAGAGAACCAATAAGAAGGAAAAATAATGGATGGATTCATGGAAAATGAACTGAGGGGAGGGTACAGAATGAATTCCTCTTTTCCATGCCTGACATATAGTTAAGCATGGGCGACATAGCATCAATGGCCACACATCAAATCTGTCTTGAGGAATGGAGAATAAATTGGAGGGCCTCATTTAGCAAGAGGTCAGGAGAGTCACAAGAACCTCAGGAAATACAAGAAAACTCTGCAAATGAGGAGAGTTGGATATTGCAAACATACAGTATAATTCTAACTAGGGTTTGGCTCATTGGATATGAGTCTAATGGATTATCCATTTAAAAATGGACTCTTTCTAAGACCATTGAACTAAAATAGTTGTGGGAGCCTGAAATGCAGTGTGTGATAAATAGCCCCTCCATTAATAGGTTTGTTTACCTGGGCAAAAGTACTCTGGTTGAGTTTATGTAGAAGATGTCTACTCTTAGAATGCTATAGACCAGGCCCATGGTAGCTGCTCCACAAGTAATTTTTAAAGGTGAAATCATGGGGACCAGGTGCCTGATATTTGCAAGGCCCTATCCAAGGTGCTGAAATGGCTAGGAAAGCATGGCTTCTGTTACATATGTGGTCCAACTGTGGGATTGGATAAGATTGCTTTGCTAGAATATTAAAAGTGGTTGAGCAGCTTGTGACTCAAGATTTATCTCCATCTAAATCCAGGGTAAAAGTTTAGAAATCAACCTCCATGTTTTTATTCCTGGAAAACTAATGCTGCAGGACGTAAAAAAGCAATGCCAATATTCTCTTTTTCATTCTTTCATTCTTTTGTTCCCTATAGAATGTAATCTGAGCCATAAGGCTGTGTATTTCTCTTGGGATTCAATATGTCAATTTTCTATGTCGAATTTTTTGAACGCTCTTATTCTTGATAAATGGGACCTTCTTTAAAACATGAAAATAATGTGCTCACTTCTGATGCATACTGAAAATGGAAGGCCCACCAGAACATTCAAAGGAAGGGCAAAACAGGGAGAATCCCTGAAAGAAAAATGAAAGAGCCACCAGAGACAGAAGAAAGACTAGGAGAAGTGAGGTCATGGAATTCAGGGGTGAAGAGCATTTCAAAAAAGGTGATCAACACCAGCTAGGACATCTGAGGCATCATTTAAAGAAGGGGTGAAAAGGGACCGGTGGATTTAGTTACTATCA